GATTTCTTGTGACTCTTGATCTGTTGCTTCTTCGACATTTGTTGATCTCCTTTAATACTCCTCAGTATCCAATCTTCTTGTTGGATGATTTTCACGAGGATCAATCTCCAAACTATCCATTGGACAATTGTTGAGCAAATCAATTTATCCGTTGAAGTCAATCAATATGAAATTCTGGAAATTTGATCGCTCGTACAATCAAATCTTCTAGTTTTCAGAAATAAAGTAACTCAAACTATGGAAAGTAAACTGTCTTACTATGGAAAAAAAATTTATCTTCGAGATGATTGTCAATTAATCAAGATATCACACGTGATTAATATTTTCAGCATAAATATATCTTGAGATTGACAATACATCAATTTCTTTGATTTGGAATCCAAGTAGTGTCATTAGCTATCATAAATATTTAGAGCATGTGATAAAGCTATCGTACGCATAGTATAGTCGCTATGCTCATATCAACTATTCTCAGTTATATCTAGTTTCTCGGTGATATAGTTTATGGTTATATCAGGCTTCCCGGTGATACCCAACTGTGTCTCAATTGGCAACTTTGAGCATACTGGATATGTAGATCATGTGCTGTTCACTATGATACCTCCAAGTCTTTTCACACTAATCTAGACTTGTTCACACTTAGGTTCATCCAGTCTTCACAAATTTTTGCCTTGGTACATATAATTTCTATTAAAAGCGAGTATTACTTGAAATATAACCAACGTTTGCATTTATTAAGCTCATAACACACATGGATAAGTTTGTCGACTTCAAAATATTATATGAGGTTTTCTCAATAATAATAGTATCTCGTAATAATTTGATTCGATAGGGCTCGGATTGATTTTTTTTAATAGAATATTTATATTTATTTATTTTATTCAAGAGTGGTTGATTGATTATTTATGAATGACCTTTGGTGTTAAATAATTCATGGACACATAGATGTTGTTTAGGATCAAAGAAACTGAGAAACGCATGAAAATGTTTTTCATTAAAAGGTAAAGGAGCCGATTAATGGTGTTAGAATTTCTAACATAATCAAATTTCCAAATCTCAGAATCTCTTATTCGTAGAAAGTAAAATTACTCGTCCACTTTACCTAGGCTCTTAATCGACCTAGTAAATTAGTTAGTGGCTGCTCTAGGATAACAAGATTTAAAATTAATGAGAAATTAAGTTGCGATCATTAGGTTGAAAGAATCAGGGCAAAGCACCGACGCTAATGCCCACTTAACAATTCGTTAAACCCCCTCACAGCCTACCTTAGGAGGATCATGAGAAAATATAATATTAGGTGTGCAGATTAAGGGATGGAATCGGGACAGGTATAATAATAACTTAATAAGGTACCCAACCCGCACAAACCTTAGTAGGACATAAACAGGTTGCGGGTTTGGGAAGTGTGATGAGTTTAGGGTAAACTACTAAAAACCCTAAATGAGTTTCGCATGGGATTTTAATTTTATATTGGGGAAATTTGATACCCGAGCATGATATGTAGTACTATAGAAGCGCCCTTAATTTGTTTCTTTTATATTGGGGAATACCCGAGTTACTATACATATTAGGATTTGACATGTTTTTAGGATTTTTTGAGTTGCCCTTACTAGGTTAAAGCTCTCAATATTATTTACAAAATGTGAAAACACTAAGCCTGCATTTGGTAGTCCGGATTTGAGTCCGGATAAAATATTAAATTATCATATCCAGTATTTGGTGACATTCTCCGAACCAGAAAACCCGGATTTATCCTGATAAAATGCCGGATAAGAAGTTCGGCCTACGGGGTGGGATAAACCCAATCCAACTTAACAATTCTTACACACCAGAAAAACCCTACCTCAAGCGAGACTCACTGTCCTTGGTGTTTCTCACTAGCGGCACCCTACCACCACTCCATCCACCATGACGGTCCCTCATTTCGGCGTCCTCGAGTACCCTTGCTGGTGTACTTGCTCGCGGCTCACTTGGAAGGCTAGGGTTCACCACCTCATCCTTGGCTACCTCTTTTTCTCAGTCGGTTTTTCAACTTTTCCACCATCACCAAATCATCTTTCGGTTCCTCTCTCTACTTCACCTTTGATTACTCATTCTTGGCCTCCATTGTTCCACAATCTCTCTTTTGGTCGACTCTGAAGAGAGAGATCCTACTCGCCTTTAGTTCATAATCTTGCTAAATAGAAAAAACTTATGTCGGTTGAAAATTGTCAAGCTCCTGAGACAAATTTCCCTAAGACTGCTTGTTGACGACAGTGGTTGAGAGGGAGCCCATCGGCGATGGGTTATTAAATGATTTTCGACAAGAAAGATTTTAAATTTTTTTTAATTCTATCTTAGGTTACACAAAACATTTGATGAGATATTTCTACGATCTGGAGGATATTTGAAGGATTTCAAATCCCCATTTATCCTATCATATCCTAATCCTAATATGGACGACAAAAACATAAGATTTATTGATATGAAGTTCTTCAATCTTATACTCGAGACTCCATTGTTTTCTAATCGGTGATTTACAATATATGAGTTTCAAATAAATAGTCTCATTTACAAATTTGATACTATTTATTACATATTTGACACAAGATTATTGCTATAAGAGAATCCTATGGCGGGTTGAAGATACTTAATGAGGATGCTTACCCTATTTTAAAACCTATGTTGGAAGCCAGGTTACAGAGTTTCACAAATAAATCACAAAATTTGTGGGGTATCATATACTTTGTACGATTTCTTATCACACAAAAAGTCTATCAATTCTAGTTGCATGTAATATGAAAATATGTATATTATGCAATAAAATATCTACTTAGGATAAAAGGAATTGAGAAATGCATAAAAATGTTTTTCATTAAGAGGAAAAGGAACTGATTAATGGGTGTTAGAATTTAGGGTTAATACCATGAAAAACCCCAAATTGATACGCATATTACAAATCTACCCGTAACTAATTTTTTGACCACAAAAAACCTCAAACTGGTATACTTGGGATAAATATATCCCGAACTAATTTTTTTACCATCAAAAATCCTAAATTAGTACATTTGTGATAAATTTACCTTCCGTTAGTTTCCATTAAAATAGATTAATACTGCAAAAAATCACAAACTGGTACATATGTGACAAACGGAGGGTAAAACCCTAAACTTGCACATTTGTCAACTGCCACTTGCCATCTAACTCAGCAATTTGACGGTAAAATTTAAAGGAAACTAATGGGGGGTAAATTTGTCATAAGTGTATCAGTTTTGGGTTTTTGGTGGTCAAAAAATTAGTTTTGGGTGAATTTGTAACAAGCGTATGAGTTTGGGGTTTTTCTTGGTATTAGTCCTAGAATTTATAACGTAATTAAATCCCCAAATCTTAAAATCTCCGATTCGTAGAAAGTAAAATTAGTCGTGCGCTTTACTTAGGCTCTTAATTGGCCTAGTAAATAAGTTAGTGGCAGCTCTAGAATAACAAAGTTTAAAATTGATGGGAAACCAAGTTGCAATAGGGTTAAAAGAATCGATGTGAAGCGCCAGCGCTAATACCCTTTTTAATAATCCATTAAACCCCGTCAAAGCCTACTTAAGGAGGGTCGCAAGAAAATATAATTTAGGTGTGCGTATTTAGGGATGGAACTAGGATGGGTAAAATAAGGTACCCGACCCGCACAAACCTTAGTAGGACATAAACGAGTAGCAGATTTGGGGAAGTGCGATGAGTTTAAGGTAAACTACTAAATACTCTAAATAGTTTCGCACGAAATTTTAATTTTATATTTGGGAAATTTGATACTCAGCACGATATTATTTTTTGCTAAAAGATACTGAGCTGAGCACGATATGTAGTACTATAAAAGCGCCCTTTATTTGTTTCTCTTATATTCCTTAGGTGGTTGAGTTACTAAACATATTAGGTTTTGAAATGTTACTAGGATTTTTGAGTTAGCCTTACTAGGTTGAAACACTCAGATATTATTTATAAAAATGTGAAAACACTAAGAATATAATTTAGAATAATATACCATCTTTCAACGACAACCACTATTTTATACCTAGGTTCTAATTATTGTCAGAATTTTAAGATTTACTAATCTTCTTGACAAAAAAAAAAGATTTATTGATCTTAAGTTCTTCAATCTTATAGCCATAGTTTTCTAATTGGTGATTTACAATACATGAGTTTCAAATAAATAGTAGCTTTTACAAATTTGATACTATTTATTATATATTTGACACAAGATTATTGCTATTACACAATACTATGGCGGGTTGAGGATATACTTAAAGAAGATGCTTACCATATATTTAAAACCTATGTTGGAAGCCCAAGTTACAAAGTTTCGCAAATAAATCACCAAACTTGTGGGGTATCATATAGTTGCATGTAATACGAAAATATGTATATTACACGATAAAATTCATGTTTTGTGGTTATTCAGTATAGAGTCGTAAAATAAAACGTGATCGCAAAACAAAATTGCATATCAATAAAATAGGTAGAAAATTCTTAAATTCAGTGAACAGAGAAGTGGTCATATTATTCTCATTTTGAGTGACAAACTTGCTATTAGAATAATTTGATTGTTAATATCGATCAATTTCACGTGAAGCCCGTACATAATAAAAAAAGAAAAACGATTTGGACAAGAATTTGCCTAGCAAAAAACTCCCTCTAAATTTTTCAATTTTCAATTTGAAATAGCATTTACTTTCATACTTACTTCTAAATTTTGCGATACGCGTGTTTTTTTCTTCGTAATGACTAATAAAAATTATTGTAATAATTTAAACTTTTAACTAATATCTTAAATTTTTTTGTGGTAATGACTAATAAAAATTATTGTAATAATTTAAACTTTTAACTAATATCTTGAATTTTTTTTGTGGAAAATAAGATATTTCTTGCTTTTGTTCTTTTTATTTTTAAGCCAAAAACGTTGTCCCCCTCCCACGTTAGTTCAAGCGGCAAAACCCGACATTCAAACCCACCAGTGGCGCATTTCTTTCCTTCCTTCCCCCTTCAATCTCTCTCTCCCTCTCTCTCTCTCTCTCTCTCTAACACACGCACACGCACACACGCACGTACACAGAAGCTTTGAGCGAAGAGATAGAGCCGCCATGGCGGAGAACGGGCGGACCCTGGCGGCGAAGAAGAGAGCGGTCGATGCGTCGGCCGATGCTGAACAGGAGCCGGCGGCGGCGAGCAGGAAGCGGGTGGCGCTCGGAGATATCACCAACTTATCCAATCCCATCGTCCCGGCGACGGGCGGCGGCGGCGGCGGCACCACGAAGAAGGCCCAAGTCAGGGTCGTCAGCGAGTCAACGACCGCGGCATCCGTGCCTTCAGCTGCGACAGAGGAGGGCGGTGGCCGCAAAATCGATCCGCCGACATGCGGAGCTTATGTTTCTGACATCTTTCGCTACCTTCGCAACATGGAGGTCGGCGCGATTTCTTTATTTCATCTGCCCCTTTTCTCGTTTTGCCTGACGAAGGCGAGCTTTCTCGCAAAGAAAGTGATTTCTTCTGATGATCTGTGAATGACTAGACATGAAACTCTTTCCTTCGACGTTGCGCGAGCTGTCTTTTGCGCACCCAACTAATTCGAATCCGGTGTCGTCGATCCTTGTCCCACCGTAACCGGGTCATGTTAATTGTTCAAACAGTCAGAAGGGCTGAAGAATTGGACTCTGGATGGATGATTATGCCCAGAAAACTTCATTCACTGTTGATCATGTTTTCTAGGCTAGAATGATAAATGTCTAAGCTCTTTTGCGGGGTGTTACCGCATAAGCTCTACGCACATCGAAGTTCACTCACTTTGTAATCCACCCACATTGAAAATTAGTACACTAGTTAGCGTGAATACCCGCTTCGTCGGCATGTAGCACGGGTTCAATTTGATGGTGGAAATGGGAAAAATACACAGGCTTTTATGAGCAGTATGGATGGAGTAATTTGGGCGTGTTGGTTGTGATGCAGACGGAGCCGAAGAGGAGACCATTGCCTGATTACATTGAGAAAGTTCAGAATGATATAAGTCCCAATATGAGAGGGATATTGGTGGACTGGTTGGTGGGAGTTGCGGAGGAGTACCAGCTTCTTTCGGACACGCTCTATCTCTGCATCTCTTACATCGATCGGTTCTTATCTTCGAATGCTTTGTCTAGGAAAAAGCTTCAGCTGCTCAGTGTTTCCGCGATGCTCATTTCCTCGTAAGTCGTAAGTGGTAGCGCCTAGCCTGGGCTTCTACCTTCTGGTTTGATATTTTGTGCCTCATCATTGACAAGGTGCTGATTTGCTGTCATTCTTGTTTGGTTCTTCATACTGATGTATAGAAAGTACGAAGAAATCACCCCTCCCCATGTAGAAGATTTCTGTTACATGACAGACAACAGTTATACGAGAGAAGAGGTATCTTCTCAATTCACTGTCATACCATTATTATTTTGTTTTTGGTTAATGCATCTAGCCTTTTCGAGGATGCTACATGTAAAGTAGTGAATCAGCGATTTTCTTGTCTGATTTTAAGGTGGTTCAAATGGAGGTTGATATATTGAAGGCTCTGGACTTTGAATTGGGCAATCCCACGATAAGGACATTCCTAAGGCAAGAAGCCATCTTCCTGTTTTTGTCAATTGAGATGATCTCCTTTCTAATATCCTATTTCAATTAGTTTGGAATTTAAATTTGACCTCCAATCACCATTTCTTTTCCTTCTGTTTCGCAGAAGATTCAGCACAGTTGCTCAGGAAGGTCACAAGGTAAACTGATTTTTGGTTATCTTAAGTTTGTCAAATTGGCTAACAACACATCGTAATTCGCAGACTACGAATCTGAAACTGGAGTTCTTGGGCTACTACCTTGCGGAGCTAACTTTGTTGGATTACACCTGCGTGAAGTTCTTGCCATCTGTTGTCGCTGCATCTGTCACATTTTTAGCAAGATATATCACGCGACCAAAATCTCACCCCTGGGTAAGAGCCTACTTTATGATGATGCTTAGAATCGATAACGTTCAGTTGTTACTCTCAGTCTATTATAAAGATCATCCTACTTTTCAGACTTCAAGCCTACAGAGGTATTCAGGGTACACCGTGAAGGACTTGAAAGAGTGCGTTCACATCATACATGACTTGTACCTGGGGAGAAGAGGAGGCTCCTTGCAAGCTGTACGAGAAAAATACAAGCAGCACAAGGTATTTGCATTGTCTAATATCTGAATATATTGATGCACCCGCGATCATTGCTATCGAACTCTATCACTAATCAAATTACCCAACCGTTTTCAGTTTAAACGGGTGGCTGTCACGCCTTCTCCTCCAGACATACCAGCTTCTTATTTTGAAGATGCCAATGACTGATCAACCAAATGTTGGGCTGGGTATATATTGGTGAACCGATGGAATTTTACAGGATATGGCAGCAAATATTTGCAATTAGCTTTGCAATAAGCAAGTGTGAGTCTGTGACAACTGACAAGGACCGAAACATGTTGCTAGTCATACCAGAAAATGCTGATGAGGAAAACTGTGTTGTCCATAATACAGGGAGCCGCTAACATTGATATATAGAGTTTTCCATGAGTAAGGTTTGCGTTAATTACATCAGCAAACAAATTGCATTCTGGTGATGTAGATGACGTTGATAGTGCTGATTGCTTCAGAAGTGAGCAACGAAAGACTGATGATCTGGTCCCTGGTGACCTATTTCAGTCGAATCATGTTCTCAAGATTGACTAAAGCTAACTTTCCTGCACTATCATTGGTGCAAACTGAGATAATTTTGTGCTTTGTAAAGAAACGACTCGGCAGCTCCAGTTGCTATACTGCTATTTAGCTACAATAGTCCATGAAAGTCTCATTCTCTGGAGCAAGCACGTTGGTTCTCTGCACCAAAAAGTTGCACAAGCCCAATCTGTCCTGCGGTTTATGCTAGGAGTCGAGTATGGCAAATACCCAGCTTATGATTTTCGATGTTTTGGGTCGATCCATATGCTTCAATTTTCCCAATATCATCACCGTCCATGAAGGCCCGGGCCCACTCAAATCCTTTCAAAAGCCACATGAAAAATAACAATAATTAACTTTTGGGATCACAATACAGAAAGGACGATAACTTCAGATGAAGGTCTCTACAATCGCATCTAATTGATTAAACAATAGCTCAACGGTTATCATTTAGCGGGTGAAAAGCAACAAAACTAAAAGTCAAATTGATAAAACAAATTGAGGATCACATAATGGCAACTTCACTATTGCGCGATTTCTCCTCTAGCATTGTAGTTGCATCAAGAACCCTAATTTTTCCATCCTAGCCCTAATTTATGCCTCCGAGCCCTAATTTTGTCCTCTAGTTGAGCGACTCAGAGAGAATGACGAATGTGAGTGGGTGAGAGCAATAGAGATGGCGAGCGACAGTGAGCGACATCATATCTTTAAATGAACTTTAGCTACATTTTTGCTCTTGAAATCTGTCCATGAAATCCCATCTTTTATCATTTATGAAAATTTGCCTCCGATGTACCTGAGAGTTATCATAGGAATTGCATACCCCAGGCTCTCTCTCTCTCTCTCTCTTCTTTTTGGGCCACCAAAAAGGCACATCTTTGCATTTCATGATCACCTGACCCACATCATTTGGTCGCTTACTATTCACTACTTCTCGAAACTTGATCTTCCCCTCATACGAAGCGTATAACCAAGAGAAACCATGAACCAGATGGATCAATGATTTGAGCGATACATCCCAACTTGTTAATGGCCAAAAAAGTTGAAGGATTCGTCACACGAAAGTTTCCTTTTATCCGGCTCAAGTAGTTACATCAAGTAAAAAAACGGGCTCTCGCTTTCAAATTCTTGAAAAACGTCAAAAGAAATACTTCATACTTACAGGACTGAAGAGTACACAAACACATCCATTTGTTGTCGCTACTAATAACGAAATGGATTTTGAAATTTATTAGTATATTCCTAAAAAAGGTACTGATAATATGGAGGGTACCTCTCTCAATTTGAGTTCTACCTATTATGAAAGAGGTGATTTAAGTGGAGGGCCATGGCGGTGGGTTGTTGTGCTAGTCTCCCCAGAGGAATAGTCGAGGTGCGCGCAAGCTGGCCCGGACACCTCGGTTACCAAAAAAAAAAAAAAAAGAGGAATCCCTTACAAGAGCCAATCGGCGGCGAGAGTTGCATGTACAGAAATGAAGACGTTACGTAAAGGAGCCTTTTCAAACTGAACTTAGTACTATTGATTCAATGATCCTATAGGACATGGTCTCTCTCTCGTCCACACATATAGCACTCGCACAACCACCCTCCCATATTTGCGTGTTCTCGCTTCACTACTTGTTATGATCAAACCACTTTAAATCCTACTAACGTTTGCCTCAAACAAATGACTCAATTATGTATTTTTTCCCCGATAAATTGGAAACGACCTCCTAATTTTGCTCGCGCAACTTTACATTGCCCCCATATCTAACTTCTGTTTGTATTCCTAACTTTAGTTATTAAAATTTATTTTGACCTAATATCGGTTAATAATGTAGCTAAGTTTACAAAAAGATCGTACTTCAAACTTGCGTAAGGTAGATGAAGGTTTTAATAGGGAAAATTTTCCAAAAAGTCTTAAACCTATTGTATGGAGGTTGATTTAGTATTGAACTTTTCAATTGTGCTAATTTAGTTCTAAACATTTTGAAAATTTACCAATTTAGTCATAAACCTTTTAAATTAGGATGGGGAGTGTTAGAATATTTAAATATTATATTATGCCTTCATTAAACAGTTTAAGCTTTTTGAACAGTTGATAATGGTCCTATAAAATTTCACAGGAGAAATGAGATCACCTTGTTTTACACCTTGTGATGGATCAAAAGGGTCCGAAACACTATGATTAAGCAAAATGAATGTATTTGATGAGGCCAGACAATTTAAAACAAGAGCAAGCAACCTAATTCGCAGGTAGATTTAGAAATGACTCGGGCCATCTCAACCCCGGCATAGCACAAGCAGGCCCTATATGGGTCCATGCCAGGCATCGGCCCTCATGGTGGAGCGTGTGCTAGGCCAGGCTTATTAGCAAAAAAGGTGGTGCCAACTGCCAAGCATGGCCTCTTTGCTCACGGGCCATTTCACATATGTGAAATTTGAAAGGTATTTATTATAATTAACCCTAAGCTTTTTTCCTTGACGATTTAGGTGGTCATGAATTTCTTAGTGGAAGATAGGAGTGTGCATCCAGATTGATTCAACTACTGAACCGATCCAAACATCTATTCTTTAGCTATGACATCTACTTCTAATGCAATCAGTCATTATCGTTGTCGTTGATGTCACCATGAAAGCTTTCGATAGCTTTATCATTGCTGCCGAATTAGCTAGTTGGAAGGTTAAAAAGTTAGATGGTGGCTTGAATATGGAAATGACGTACGACCTACAGAGGGTGATGCAATAGATCGGTTTCAAAGTCCCGCAAAGTCGGCTCCAACTTCTAAAATCTGGGAATCAGCCTTGACATGATAGGTTTCGAGTTCTAAATGTAAAAATTGCTTACTCCAAAACTGATTACCTCCGATGGAAGGATTTCGTGATAAAGCAAGCGTACAGGTAGAGCATTAAGAATCATCTTTCGAGCACGATGTCGGGAAGGGTAAGCTGTTCTTGTACACGGGTAGTTTGGCCCTCGTTACTCTAGATTAGAAATTTCAAAAGCAAAACGAAAAAAAATAAAAAATTAACGAAAGATGATGATATATGGAGTTGCGTTGCTGTCGACCGCGTTTTGCAAAATTGTAAAGGTTTTTCTTTTTTTTTTTTTCTATTGCCGTTTCGGAAGAGTGCCTTCAAAGGCATTAAAACCGAGACGCGCCTCGAACGTCGACCGTCGGATCCAACTACTAAAGGTGACCTGTCGCTTCATCATCTACAGTCGTCCTGAACACACGCGCGCGCCCACACCATAAATACGTACTCCTCAACCACACCCGATCGTTACCCTTTAATATTTTAATCCCCCGAAAATCCCTTCTCCCTTCCCCACCCGCTCCAAATTAAAGCCCCCCAACCAATGTCGGACTCGGACATCGCCACCGCCCAACCCGCCTCCGCCTCCTCCGCCGCCGCCGCCGAGGAGGTCTCACCTCCGCCGCCGCCGTCGCCGCCGTCCGACCCTACCTCCCACCCGCCGCCGTCCGAGATGGAGGAGACCGTCCATGATCCGCTCCCCACGGAGGCCAGGAAGGAGGCGAGCCCCGCCCCCAACGTCGCCTTCAGCATCTGGCCCCCCTCGCAGCGCACCCGCGACGCCGTCGTCGCGCGCCTCATCGAGACCCTCTCCGCCCCGTCCGTCCTCTCCAAGCGCTACGGCACCGTGCCCCAGGACGAGGCCGCCTCCGCCGCCCGCGCCATCGAGGAGGAGGCCTTCAACGCCGCCGGCGGCGCCGCGGCCGCCGACGACGACGGCATCGAGGTCCTCCAGATCTACTCCAAGGAGATCAGCAAGCGGATGCTCGACTCCGTCAAGGCCCGCGCCTCCCTCGCCGCCGCCGCCTCCCCCGCCGCGGCGCCGGACAGCGCCGCGGCTCCGTCCCCGGCCCCTACCCCCGGCGGTGACGCCGCTGCCCCCGCCGCCAACGAGGAGACCTCTTCTACCGTCGAGTCGGAGGCTTAGGTTTTGTTCTTCAGCTCGTGAGGGAGGCGCTTCTTTTTTGTTGTCGTCGGTTTAGAGATCTAATGTGGATATTCATCGTGATACATTGAGGGTTATTACTTAGTATCTTTCTTGATTTGGTTCGCTTGGACTAAGTATCGAATATGGTGGTCGTTAATGTGAGAAATGGTGTCATGATCTATTCATATCTAGGTCTCTGCGACTGCCTTCAGGCACCTATGATAATTATATGGGTATGATTACCTGATGCATTGTGAGCTTTTCGTTCGTATGCCATTTGCAATCCCATAAAGCGCGTGCATTTTGTTCATCGATGATCATCGATGGTGTTGTTCTGTGTGGTCTCTGCTTGCCAGTTGTTATATTTTTGCCCAAGTTCCTTTCATTTGTGTCTCATGCCTTGAAAACCTGGTGCCCTGTAGTCTTCCTCTGTGTTGGACTGACGATATTTAGCTTACTTCTCTGGTTGTTCCAGTATGGCAATTGCACTTTTGGATGGTAAGCATCCTTTTCGATGCTTTTAATCTTGTCTGTCTGCATGAATCATCCTACTTAGTCTATTTGAGGAGCTCATACCCTGCGTTGTATGGATTTTGCATGCTTTTGGATTTCACTTTTATTGGTTCTTATGTCATTGGAGGCAATTGTCTTTACCTTATTTAGGTGTTGCATATAACTTTCTTGCTTCTTGCAAATTGTTGCCTCTTGGATCGCCCATGTTTTATGGTATTATATTTAGTGACTCTTATGTCATTGGATGCAATTGTTGTGACTTTCATGTTTCATATACTTTTTTCGGGTTGCTATCTTTTAGGATGCAAAGGGTTGCTTATCGTATCACCGGATGCCACTGCCTTTTCTTATACATTTTGCATATAGTTTTTAAGTGCTAGTCTTCTGACTGTCTGGAATCTCTTTCTGATATGCTTGACTGTTCATTCTCTGTCGGTTCCGGTTCCATAAATGGCACAACTTTATGAAGTTCTTTAATTTTGTTACTGCATATGCTTGATGGAAACTTATAATATAGTCACTTTCCTAAATTGTTATATTGGTAGAACTTAAGTTGTCTTTATGGTGTAGCCATTGCTGTTCTGTGAGTTTATTGAAACATATTTTAATGTATTAACCTGCTGACGTTATTATTACATCTTCCATGATTTCTTTTAAAACTGTTCACTAAATTTCACTAATTTTCTTCTGGATTCTTTCTCAATCAAGAAGAGACAGCAGATCATTATTGCATCGTTATAAACCATTTTACATGCTAAAGGTGTTTGGATGTTTTACTCAGGAACTCGTGATTGTTATCTACTTAGCAGACAATATTTCCCCCGTGTTTTACTAAAAGCGAGTCATATTGGTAATTGATATCATCATTTTTGATTTGTGAGATCTTTTAAATGATGCAAATATTGCATTTCCCCCTTCTTTTGGGCTAAAATAGCTGCTTACTATATGTGTAAAAAAAGTGGATTAGAGTATCTTCCTTTTCTGTTTACATTTTATGCTTAAGCCAGAACTGTCTCATATTCTTCAGGATAGGGTAGCAATGTGCTAGCATGTCGTGTCAGTTTTTCATGTTGGTGTAAAAATACGTTGGATATTAGTGGACAATACTGGCTAGATGATGTAATTACCAATTCGAGTTCATTGTGTCATCATGTTTCTTGGAATTGTTGTTTGGATGGAGATTTTCTTGCTATAGATATAAGATTCCAGGGACAGGAAAGGGTATGTTTGAGAAGATTTGTCCTCTTACCCAAATTCACCTTGATCGTGCGTTTTAAACTTTCCTCTTTTCTGTCATTCGGTCTCCTCTAAGAGTTGGATCTTCACTTTTTTGAGGACAAAGCAGGTGTCTGAGCTGTTTTTCTGGCTTGCCATATTTTGGGGACTTAATTGTTACTTGGTAGGATTTCGCAAATCCTATAAGGAGTAAAACAAACTGATTATTAGTCTGCATAGTATTTTCTGGAGCGATTGGTATGTCTGCCGGTGCATTCTAAGAGTATGAGATTAACGCACTAAAGTTTTTGGTATTTTGGGGGTGTTGGGTTTTTCTCAAGCTGTGTGATAGCAAAATTAGAAGCTTTATTTCGTCATAAGAAATGAAGATTGTTGCGTCTTTCCATTCACATCTACGTTTGAAATGTTTATGTTTCTAGATCAAAGCGTATATTTTAGCTGGAAGGATCCTGGAGTGCTTGAGAAGGCATGAATGTAGTATTTATAGTGTCCTCCAATAACCACACTAATGATGAGGATGCAATGGCACTTTTTCTTTTTTAGTGCCATCATTCCTCTCTCTCACGACCTATTACCTGTCCATAGTTCATTTGCAACAGAATGAAGCCTGGTGTGCTCACACGTCCATGATTGTTGTTAATTTTCTCAAGTGACCCGAGAGAGGGGGAGGGTAATATAGTTGATGCCTGGGACTTAAAGGAAATACAGCATGCGCTCTGATTTCGACCTTGAACTGCATTCCATCTAGAATGATTTCTGAGGCTGCATGGACTTCTTATCTAGGCAGATGCATATCCACATAATTTTGCTGATATGAAGAATGGGATTTAACTTTGAAGGACTGGCAAACGGTAAGACGCAAATTAATTATGTACGAAGGAGCATCTGTATTGTAGCCCTTTACTTCCGGTGCCTAATTTGTCATTTTTCACTAGCTAGTTGTCATGTTTAGACAAATGGTACGAAACTTTAGTTTTTTGCCTTTCTTGTTCTAATTTACTGGCCTGATACAACCTGGGGAGTGCTCCATTGTCCACAAAGAATATGATGTTTAGAATATGGCTTGTTTTTGTAGCAACAATCACTTATAGCTGATTGTTAGGTGCGTAATTTCCTTGCTTTTCATGGGACTCCTGTGTGTCAGTATGTTCTTGTGGTACAATCGGTCATCAGTTGTCGTGTTTGTTGATGTCCACTCTAAGCTACTGGTTAGAGATTTAAATTGCCGATGGTCGTTATAAGGATATCGGATACACGAGTTGGTTTCTGGAGTGAGTGGTATTTCGTAGATGATTCTTTTGCTGGCTGTTCAATTCGACCTGGACAAGTATTGTATCTGGGGCTTGATTAGAAGGGAATTTTAGTTGGAGAAATTGAGTGGACTCAGTGTCCAGCTCAAAGTTGATTTATCTTGACAAATTAAGCAAGGATGCTCGGCTGAAATTTAGAGGAGGATACTCCTCTCGAGTGTTCAAGCTTATATTGCATTGCTCATCATGCTCTTGCTCGAGCTTGACTCGTGATCACCACCAGTCACAGTGAATCATTAGAAAACCAAACCTGAGTTGAACTTGAATTTTGGATTGAAAACTCCGACTAAAAATATCCGAGTTACGATGCTGTATGAATTCGGGTGAAACCTACGTTACCATAACAAACGAAGTGGTAAGAAGAAGTAGGTCATGCTACTGAGCTGCTCGTATGAGTTTGAACTTGGACTTGATCATCATTGAAACTCGTACTCCTTGAACTGGATACGGACTGCCAACAAGATTGATGAATTCGTGACCAGCTCATCTTGTTTTGGCACGTTCACCCCTGGACAAGATTTGGAAAGTCGGGTGAATGTTTAGATTATTTTGTTAGATTGTAACTCGTTCGTACCTATATGAGAAAAGATAGAAGTGATGTTCTTGGTTGCTAGCTCTCTTTGGGTGCGACGGGGCTCTACATTTGCTGGGTGGGTCGATGAATCTGATTTTTGCTGGGGAAATTATCTAAAAAGTCATGAATCTATTATACATAGGTCAATTCAGTCCAGAATCTTTTAATTATGTCAATTTAGTCCTAAACCTTTTGATAACTTGTAAATTTAATTCTAAACCTTTCAATTATATTAATTTTTTTTCAATTGTGCCAATATAGTCTTAAAACTTTTGATAATTTACTAATTTACTTCTTCTTGACAATTCTGACATAAAATTGTTGATGGTCGACGGAGGTTGCTAGCCTCAGGTGAGAGCCACCCTCTCTTGCCTCGAGTGATGGACGCCTGGGCTTGGGTTGGCAAGGGACGCTCTCATCAAATTGGGCGAGGGCGAGGATTACCCTTGCCTATGGCTGGCGGAGGGAAATAGGGAAAAAGAAAATAAAAATAAAAATTAAGTCAGCGCTGATCGTTTGCCGTGTCATTTAAGACGTTCGACGTTAACTAGACTGTTACATCGGCGATTTCCGGCTAAAATTGTCCGGAAGGACTAAATTTACAAATTGTTAAAAGGTTTAGGAATAAATTGTTAATTGTTCAAGATTTTAGGATTAAATTGGTATAATTGAAAAGTTTATGATTAAAAAAACCCCTTCATTTCCCATAGAAAACCCTTCATCTCCCAAAAACTCTTCTCTTTTGAAACTCTCCTACAAGCTCTCATCTTCAGAAATTTTGAAGCTCTCCTGTAGGCTCTCAGCTTCAATTTCTGAAGGAGAGCTTACTTTGCTTTTAATTTTCTTGTTTCTTTGCTTTGACTGTCTCAATTTGTTTTGAGGGATTGTGTGTGTGAATAAATTTTTGCAGCTGATCTTGGGTGAACGTGGAGTATAGTTTGGCCATTTGGGTAGTCGATAGCCATCGAGAAGATGTCCAGGACGAGGCTCCACAACCTTTTCGAGATTAGGCCGTTATTCTCTCCCGATTTAGATTTAGGTTTATATCTGGGGGTTTTACTCTCCTAATTTAGATTTAAATTTAGATTGGGGGTTCCTTACATGTATTTGATCTGTATTATTTCAACGTATTGATGTTGGTGTCTTTGCACGGCGATGGTATGCGGATGCTGAACCTAGACGCACATGGCTATGGAGCAGGAGATCTCGGCATGTGCTTTTTACTGAATCTGGTGGTTGGCCATAGAACGTTTATGATGGTAGATCTGTTTTTGAGGAATAAGAGTGTGTTTTTAGTTACAGACTGTGCTTTGTTATTTGCGTTATAATATTTGCTTTGTTCCTTGTTTGGGATTTGCTAGGCTTGTATGCCTTTTATGTACCTCTCGAATATTATTTTGACGAATGTAATCTTTTCTTTGACAAAAAAAAATGTTTAGGATTGAATTGGTCTCCGTACAATAATTTTAGTATTTTTTGGACAATTTTCCGCTTGTCGGATCAAATCCCTTCTTTGATCTGTGGTGCAAAGTCTATCGGTCACATTCCATATCGATTACTTCGCAGACCACCGATCTCTTGTTCAGTTGAGTCAAAATTTCGGGTTCGTTTGTATCTCTGAATGAAGCTATCTAG